CACACACACACACACACACACACACACACACACACACACACACACACACACACACACACACCAACGCGCACATGCGCGCACCGAGCACCTGGTGCTCAACTACTCAAATGTGGACAGCCTTGCACAACTTAATTTCGTAGACAACAAAGGTTCTGCTATTCATCAAAAACATCACAATCATTTGGAAATATCGACATGGAAAGAATGTTACAATTATGATTCCCATGGATCTGGGTGGGGAAGGGGTTGTTGTGGTGGCGAGCACTGAACGCAGTTCTCAATGCTCTCCTCCCCAACACTTCACATGCATGGACTCGATGCATAAAACTCGATACACAAGAAGATGATGAAGGAAAGAAGATTGCAGATGAGAGAATGATAATAATCTCAATAAAATTTAACCAGTGCATGCCCATGCCCACCGCGGCTATGTCCGTGGTGGACACCTGCTCCTCGACATCCCCCCCATTTCTCCGCCACCTCCTCCTTTCCCTCCTCCCCGTTCTCCGCCGCCGACTCCTTTCCCTCCTCTCCATTCTCCGCCACCTCCTCTCTGTCCTGCTCATGCATCCCCCTCCTCCAGGCAGCACTATGTGGACTGCGGGGTATCATTGTGAACTATATGGGCTGGGTAGTATCATGTGGACCAGGTGGTAGCCATGCGCGCGCGCGCACACACACACACACACACACACACACACACACACACAGAGCCACACGGGCATGGTACTATGTGGGCTGGGCGGTTAACTGTATCATATGGCCTGTGTGATCCGACGCGGGCTGGATGGCACCGTTGGACCGCGCGTTACCATGTGGGGTGGGCGATACTTTGTTGACTGTATGGTACCAACACACACACTCCCCCTCCCCCCCTAAAAAAAATAAATGTCGCGTGCACCACAGCCACAAAGCAAAGAAAAACACACACTTCGGCACAACACAACCAGTGGCACCGCTATGGTACTTTGTGGGCTGTGCAGTTACCACATTATATGGCCTGCATGATGCTACACGGGTTGAACGGCACACTTGCCAGATCCGCCTCCAGCCGTCTGTCCTCCCTCCCTCATTACAGCTATGGAGGCAGCCGCCACACCTACTCTACAGGCCGACTCCTCGCAGCTATGGCTGTCCTCGCCTATCTCCCTACTTCTGCATGGCGTAAATCCTGCACCGCGCATGAGCTCCAGCATCCACTCACCCAGGCAGAATGAATGCCCGAACTGGGCCAGAGCCAGCCTTTTGTAGTGATCACTGGGTCTGGCCTGTCTCAAGTTCCCTCTTCCAACAGCTGAGAATTTTATTTTTTTTCCAACAGAAATGTCGTTTTTTTATCAAAACAGCTGGAAAGCGAGTCCAGCATCCCTCACATCGATGGTACTCACACAGCGCTCTCCCGTTATAGCCGGGAGTCCCTGAGACACCAGCGAGTCCAGCGTCCCTCACATCGATGGTACTCACACAGTGCTGCTCCCGTTATAGCCGCGAGCCCCTGGGACACCAGCAATGATTGCTCCCTCACCAGGCGGATGCACCCCTACTCTGCCCCTGCTCTGCAGCTTACTCCCCTGAGTCCTTTCCCCTGTCGTGCCAAATACAACCTCGGCACCCTATACTGCGGCGTCACTCCGCACCTGTACCTCCACTCTTCGAGGCCCATCTCCTTTCCTCCCTGGTATAGGCTTCTTTTTGTCCCCCGTACACCGGTTTCTCTAATGGAGACTCTAATCATTATTAATATGTGCAACGTCCATCCCCGGACTGCGAATTCGGGGCTTTTCTTTTGCCAACGTTTCTTGATTTGTCCACCCAGGATTTTGTCGCAGCCTGTCCCAGCCAGTCCAGAAGTTCCGGAGCACTGTACTGAGCTTTTGGATGGGGTGTGATCTGTGGTGGCTGAGTTTGACTTTTGAGAAGATGTTTGACTCCAGGTCTGCTGTGCCCGGGTTGGGCCTGACTGTTGACTCCTGGTCTCTCTCTCTCTCTCTCTCTCTCTCTCTCTCTCTCTCTCTCTCTCTCTCTCTGCTCTCTCTCTCTCTCTCTCTCTCTCTCTCTCTCTCTCTCTCTCTCTCTCTCTCTCTCTCTCTCTCTCTCTCTCTCTCTCGCGCGCGCGCGCGCGCGCGCACACGTCCTCCCACCGCTTGACAACAACAGATGGTGGACCGCCCTTCTCCCGCTCGCCCTCCTGCTGCTCCTCCCACTCTTCCTCCTCCTCCTCCCGCTGCTCATCCTGCTCTTCCCCCTTCCTCCTCCCGCTCCTCCTCCCGCTCGTCCCGCGGGCCGCGCCCTCACCCGCTGGCAGTTTGCGCGGAGCAGTCTGCGCCGCTCGATTCTCGGTGTCGGCCCTCTGCCCGCTAGTGTCCCGCTCGCCCAGCCGCACGAACCGACAACCTAAGCGCCCTCCTCGGTCCCCTGCGGCACCACACCCCTGCCTACCACCACCACAGCCGTCGCAAATACGGCCCGCACCCCCGCGATTTTCCCCCATGAACCGGCACCGCCCGTCCCGCAGTTTTCCGTGTTTTTCCCGCTGCGCCATTTCATCTCGGCACGCCGTGGCTGGCCCCACCCGTCCCGCAGTTTTCCGAGGGGCCACAGCTGCGTGTGACGGCGGGACCACTGTAACTTTTAGTTGTATAGAGATTAAAAAAATAAAGGGTGCATCGTCGAACTGACCGGTCCCAGGTAATTCAGGAATTTCATTCGCCAGATTCTGTACGGATTTGAACTCCAATCTACATTTCAACAGTTCACACATCTACGAACTGTGCTACCGTCTTCACCCAAATAGAACGCTCAGTCATTGTCGCTGTATCTAGACGGACAGTTGCACCGAATACAGCTGCATTGATTCAGGTGAAGACGGTAGGCCCGTTGGTAAAGAAGCCTTTTTCTTGTGGACCTGTGCTTACCGAACACGAGAGCACAAATGCAGGAAGGAAAAGAAAAAAGGAAAAGCAAGAGACTGGAAACAGGGAAAAGCCTTCAAGGCCCGCTCAAATTAGAGTCGGCCACACCAGAGTTGAATACAGGCCATTTCAGATCTTACAAACGGACATACGCACACTAGGACCTTTTTACTTATTTATGGACGCATTTGTGGTCAGATACATCCAAGTATAGCGCGATTACGGTCGGATTGTGCTAGTGTGAGCGAGTATGATCTTAGCGAAGTTTACTGGCAAAAATTTGTCGAACAGTGTGTCCGTCCTGACCACCAAAGCCATTAACCAACTTGACCTTTTCGCCCTCCGCAGTCACAGTAATGAAGTGTGGTGGTAACTTGGTAGCCCCTGACATCGAGGAATTCGACAGGTCGCTCCCCACTTACATTGCATGAGTTCATTGTGTGCACCATCCGGCACATGGCTGGCGAAAGGCAAGGCGGCCACGATACAAGGAGTGGGCATAAAATGGGACGACTGGCACAACTCGGACCCATCCATGGCAAGAACAAGATAGCCAACAGCCCACTTCCCAGGATCCCATTTGGACAAAATACACAGGCTGCAGCAAAAATCCTATAGAGCCCACAACCTGGAGCCGAGCTACGGAGACTGCCGAACTCAATTGCACGTACAGTTCTATTCGACACACTTGGGGAAGAGTCTGAAAGGAGGTAGAACGGACTGGCAAGCTGACTGCCAATCCTTCAATGTAGGAGTAATCAATGCTGTTCAGGGACCCTTTGGACAAGGGTCCCAAAACACAAAGGAAGCGAGAAGAGGTTAACACAGTCCTAAATTTTCAGGATTTTTTCAGGGTCATTATAACAACCGTCCCATACCTTTCGAGCCAGACTTGTCACCAGTCCATAGAGTGGACACCAAATAAACCAACAGCACAAAAAAAATTGAAAAAAAATGGTCAAAGGGGCTTAAACCCCAAGGCAAAAGTGTGCTTTCATGCAAAATTCACTCTTTTCAGTTTTCAGGATTTTCAGGATTTTTCAGGGCTGGCCAAAACAGTGAACTCCAAGACCCCAACAAACACCAAAACGGAGCCAGGCCCATAAGGACGTTGTTTTCAAAAAAAAAAAAAAAAAAAAGGAATCTCTCTCCCATCCAGTCCCAGAAATGCCACAGGCATGGAGATGGATGGATGGATGGATGGATGGAGAGAGGGGGAACGACAGAAGGAAGGAGGGAAGAAGGGAGAGGATGGGGGAGAGGGACAGGGAGGGAGGGCAGGAGGGGAAGAGAAAGAGGACTGCACACCAGTTACGGGGCCGATAACGGGAGTCGTAGGCCACAGCCATCTTATCTGGTGTAAGGTTGCATCCTTCGAAGAACCGCAAGATGTCAGATCGAAGACAGTACTTAGGAGCATTATAAACCTTCGCACAAACTGGACGTATGCCTGCATTGCCCAGAGAGACAAGATACATTAGGAAACACACAGCACGCCACTGCAGCAGTGCTGCGGAGTAAACAAACACAAATAGACTTTGGCGAGTGCATAGACAAAGCAAACAAGCACCCCAGCAAGCAAGATAATACACACACACACACACACACACACACACACACACACACACACACACACGCACACTCCATAGACAAAGCAAGAAAGCACCCAAGCAAGCAAGATAATACACACACACACACACACACACACACACACACACACACACACACACACACAGTCCTTCTTCCTGTAATGACCCGCCAAAACGCAGACTGAGAACACTGCTGATTGCTGGGTTTTGCCGCTGGAATGTATGCCTTGCTGAGATTCCCGCGTTCTGCTGGGTTTTCTAAGTCTGTGTGTGTGTGCATGCTTGCTGGTCTGTGTGCCTGTCTGAGTGCACGTCTGCCTGAGTGTGTGTGTGGCCTGACAGGGCACTTGCATGTTGTGAGGCCCGTGGTGGCCGGCACTTACCTTTGGCCGTGACTTTGAGGGTTGCAGCGGGGAAAACACACGTAGCGGGGAGTAGGCCCGCGACACTTAGGGCAGCGGAGGAAAAACACTCAAGTAGCAGGTAGACCGGTACCACTCAAGTAGAGGTAGATGTGTCGGGAACTGGAGGCCGAGCAGAAGAAGACAAAAGGTCGGAATTTTTAGAAGCCCAGTAGCGGTAGACTAGAGGTAGGCGGGTACCAGTCCAAGTAGCCTGAGTTTAGGGCCTTTGAGCCTGCAATGATGTTTCCCGCCGAAAGGGAGGAGGTACCGGTTGCTTGGAGGCCACGTGGCATGAAGTCACCGCCCGATAGGCAAGTAGGTCGCTATATCTCCAGGAAGAGCATTGTGCTCTTCCTCATTTGCGGTATGCAAGTTTGGGCGTCATGCTGCTCGAGCACGCGCTGGTTCTCAGGGCGCTGCCTCGGAGGAAGGAGGAGAGCTGGGCACTCTGCCTGGCTATGGCAAGCAGCCCAGCTTGAGGAGGAAGAAGAAGGGGGCGAAGGAGGAGAGTGGTGAGGTACCTACCTGGCTATGGTGGACACCATCTTCATCACCTAGTTAGGCGCTGCATCTGGAAGGCCCCAGTGGGGCTAGTGCCGCACCAAGGAAGCTTCGAGGCACAGTCGGGCATGGCGGTCTGAAGAGCAGCGGACATAGCTGCTTTGCGTTGTCTTTTGCACAAGAGGGCAGAGCCCTTAGTAGTCCACCATAGCCTGGGCCTCTGTGAGGAAGAAGAAGAGGGAGGCCATGGCTATGGTGGACCTCTTGTTAAGCTGGCAGCAAGAGGGAACTTCGGATATTGATTCTGGTTCGACCACTCATTGTCATTACTATTATTTTGGAGAAGAATAAGATTGGCAGAGACAAGGAGGAGGAGGAGAGTGGAGAGAGAAGAGGGATTTGGCATTGGTCTTGCTGGTTTACATCTTCTTCTTTCTTTCTTCTTCTTTCTTCTTTGGTCTCTATCTCTTTGCAAGTGCCTTCATTTCTTTCACAATTGGGTGGCACTGTCTTTCCTTGTGAATTTGCACTTCGGAAATAGCCAGGATCGTTACGTTTGGTATCGGAGCGGAACTCTTACTTGTTGGCGAGAGGTGTTAGCCACCTTAACCCTAATTCCACATTAGTTAGGGCTAAAGAACCTCGGATCAGGGTTGGAGGTTAGGTTAAGAGGGGCAGCGAGGTATTGTGGGTGCTCTGCACACCTCATTAGGTCATGTTGGGTCGACATTGGACCTGACCAGGTTGGTCGAGTGAATGCTTGGGGTGGCGAGACACAAAGGAGGCTGATTGGAGTGAGCGAGAGGGAATAGAGAGTGCGAGAGGTACTCATACCTGGAATCTGGACCCGAAGAAGACACTGAGTGTCTTTTGGGCTTCCTCTCAAGAGGGGTACTCGACCGGAAGCTGCCATATCTTCATCGAAGAGCTGCAAGTTGCTACATAACTTTGGTCTTCAACAACGACGGGGGATCCGGCGTTGTAACATGGGTGTAGCTAGGCCCTCTTAGTCATGCTAGGACACTTCGTGTAGTGGTAGCCAGGGATCAGGAGGACCCATGACTGAGGAGGGTGAGTTGTTATCGCATCTTTGGAAGCCGAGCCTCACAGGTGAGTGTCGTGCGACGTGGGTTGCCCACGGGTGGCTGCATGGTGCTTCATGGCCTGTTGGGGATTGTGCTGGGCTCTCTTCCTCTTCTCGGCGGTCTTGGTTGTGTGTGTGAGCATGTGGATTGCTTTCTCACCCGATGGATGGATGGATGGATGGATGATGTATCTTGTTCTCAACGGCATATCTTTCTACAGAGCATTGTCCGTTCATTTCTGAACAGTTATAGTTAGTAAAGGTTCTTGCTGAAGTTGTCTTTCCCTTTTCAGTACGGTAGCGGCAGGTTGGGATCATCCTGGGACACCCTTCTGGTCGGTCCTGGTCCACGACCTACTTGGGACCCTTCGGGACTCAGTGGGACCAGGCCCGATGGGACAGGACCCTTTGGCCCCAAATCTGTTTCTGTCAGTTGCATTTCTTTGCTGCACTGGAACTGGGGGACACACGGCTAGTAGGGACATTCCCTTTTGAGTGCCTCTGGACTGGGTCTTACCGCATGTTCTCACATACTGCCCCGCGTCTGGCTCGCCGACCATCTGCACCCCTCGAAGTCTCCATTACTTCAGTAAGTTTTTTCTTTTGTCTAACTTATCTGTGATGCATGTTCCATGTTGGGTTAGTCAAGAGGGGATCTCGAGTCCGATCTGACGGGACCCATTCGTTAAGTCAGACCTCTCTCTGAATTATTATTTTTTATTTATTTATCATGCTGTGTGGATGCCATTCTCCAGTCCAAAGGTCTTGCTGGTGTACATCTTCTTCTTCTTCTTCTTTCTTCTTCTTTGGTCTCTATCTCCTTGCATGTGCTTTCACTTCTTTCGCAATTGGGTGGCACTGTCTTTCCTTGTGAATTTACACTTTGGAAATAGCCAGGATCATAACACTTCCATAATACAAGGAGGCCACAAGTACATGCCAGGTAGTTGAAAGGTACACGGGTAAACCTGTGATTAACAGATCAATAGTTCAAATCCTGCTCCCACTGTCTTTGTCGGGCAGTCTTCTCTTCTCTTCTCTTCTCTTCTCTATTCTGTGCCATACGAAAATGTTAGGGCGGCACACCTGAAGTTCAAAATCCTGAGTTTTTACCGTGTGATGTAATACATTTTCATAATGGAAAACCTAAAAAGGACTTTAAAAAAAAGTAGTCTATTTTGTACAGGTGAAAATCTGCCTGTTTGAGAATTGAATTCCTTTTTTTTTTTTGTGCTAAAACAGGTCCTTAAGGTCCTGCCTCCATATCCATTCTGGGGAGCGTCAGTCCGGTTCCTTTCCCCCGGCAAGTCAAAAAATAGAATACATGGTGAACACCCTCACGCTTCCTTCCGTCTGGTCGAAGGAACCCTGACCAGCATTGATTACTCCTTATCAGGAGGATTGACTGTCAGCTTGCCCTCCCACTTTTCCTCTCAGAGTCTACTGTGTCTCTGTCAAATCACGCATTTAAAGCAAGAAAAGAGGAGGAATGTCTATACTCGTTGAGATTATAATCTCAGTTTGTTTCTCTTTTAGTTCCTGGCCTTGTGCTGTGCCACTTCTTCCACACCAATCTGTCTTCCACCAGAGTGGCGATCTTTCCCTGTAGCAGCCAGTCTCTTATGAACACTCGTCTCTTCATGGTTATCCTTTCTGGTTTGCCTTTCGTTGCCGCTGTCACTTCCCTCCATCTGGCTCGAATCTCTGTTTCAGCCATTCTCAGCAGTAGTGCCCACATTTCTTCTCTTGGCACCTCATTTCCTTTGATCGTCTTGGTGCATCTCCTCTTCCAGATTACCCATAGAGCCAGCTTTCTGAGTAGATGGAACCACACTTCCTTGCCGCCTTTGAGATTGTTAGTGTTGTTAGATAAGAGCAGGATGTTCAGGGGGGTTATGGGCGGGG